TTTCAAATAGCTAAGCCCCCAGAAAACTGTATCCGTGGTAAGGAAGCTTATCGGGCGACAAAACCATGATTATAAAGATTTTGAATCTACTGCTGCACTACGGTAATGTTTGAAAGTATTCCAGCTAATTTATGAGCAAAACTGCGTTTGCACAAGACGGCTTCTGTGTTCCAAAAAAAGCCGTTTGCGTGCTTAATATCTTTATTTCCGTAGCTGGCCCATTTTGTCAAAGAAAAAAGAGCTATAAATTGGGGATAGTAAAATATGCGCAGAGATTATGATAAAAAGGGGACAGAGAGCTGTTTGCAGTCAGGAATCGCCAAAAAAATTCAAAATAGATGAAAATCAGAGTAAGATCGCGTTAGTGATAAATCATATTGCGCAAAATATTTTGTAGACAAACTGAAGTGCGCGGCTTTTATAGATTAGAACTATACAGATAAAAGGTTTTCAGTAGTACACAACAATGTTCTGCGTTAATATTTTCCCCAGTTCGTTTTCAGAGATCATCAAAGTACCAAGAGGGAAATTTTGATATATTATGGCCACAAAAAAGTGACCTTTACCAGTGCAAATTTGCCCCTTGAATCATAAATGGATCTGCGAATGAAAACAACTTTCTGGATTCGATTTGCAGTTTCGAAGTGGCGTAAAGTATTTTAAAAAGTTGACCTTAGAATTTTCCAAAAAGTCGACATTGCATACAAAACCCATCCTAGATGATCAGGAATAATGATCTAAACGTTTTATTAAAAGCCGAAACAAAACAAATCAGCCGCTTTCTACGTGCAAGTGTGACCGGGATGGCTAAAGCACTCGGTAAACCACAGAAGACAAAACAAAGTTCATGTGGACGTCGGTCACAGTCGGTCATCTCAGCTTTCATCAAAGAGGTAAAGGAATGATGAGTGTACGCCTCTTCACATCAACCATATGCCGCCAGTTTTAAGCAAAAATCATTGTTGTTGCAAAGGTCAACTCGTTCACCACTGTCCATCTGCTTCTGTTCTTCAAAGCCAGTAAGCATATATATGGGTCAAAGAACACTTGGTTTGAGTCTATTTTAATGACTGTTCTGTGCCGTCAAACTTGCGTCAGGATTCTGCAACAAGTTTCACATTCGTATAAATATACTTGAAATGTGAAATAAGTTGTTTCTGCACAGCTACATTAGCCGAAAGCTGGACGGAAGATTTCAAAAACCCAGGTTGGAACGCACCGGGCGGGCCGGTGCGACTATACGTTTTTGCACTTTTCGTGCCGTAGCAAGATCGCAAGGAATCAATGTGGCTAACCCTGTGAAATAC